AACTCGTAGTGACATTATGTCAGCAACTGAATTGAACTGTACCCGTTCCAGTAGTTATGAACGTCTGTAAGGGAAAAACTCCTCGATTTAAACGCATTTACCTACCACAACAAATGCCGGATGCCGAAGGGACAAATTTCTACGTCTCGTCAAACGACAAGGTTGTTTTTGCGTATTGCTTCGTACGATTAGCTGATATTTGAGATTGTATAGACAATCATTTCCACGAAAATTGAGGTCATTTCCTAGACAAGATCTGTTAGTGGACAAATTAGCATTTTTTTTTCAGGTCTTCTTTTTAAATTCGTCTTTAACAGTAAAAAATTTTGTAAAGAATTTACTCTCGACATTACAAATGAGAAGCTCTATTCAAGGAAAAGAAATTGTTTAAAAAAGGAAGGCTTATCACTTTTCTTCTTTCCCTCAATTTTTAACGAAGGCTGAACGTTATATAATACATGTAAAACAAACAGGAATAAGAGCTGATTAAAAGCCGAACAGCTGCGTGGTTATTTGTATAAGCATAAGAGAGCGTTTAAACTTAAACGTATGAGTTTGTTCAAACAGGAATAAGAGCTGATTAAAAGCCGAACAGCTGCGTGGTTATTTGTATAAGCATAAGAGAGCGTTTAAACTTAAACTTATGAGTTTGTTTTTGTAGCCCACTCTTTCGTTAAATGAGCAAACCCTTGTCAGGAAAACGCGTGTGTTTTGATATATTACGTTTGTGAAAATGAATCGTTAAACTCATCGTTAATGATGAGCTTGGGAGTAGGTGCCTTAAAGGTTAGTGGGGGGCCAAATGCAATAAGCAAAGAGGAGGTATCCATGGCAACCCTGGAAGCGGGAACCACCCCAAGAGCGGCCACAAACCAGCCCCGTCACACTGAATAAATTCAGTGGAGATACTTACCTGAGAAAATATTTACGAAACCACCAGGCAGGGAGGGAGGAGAGGGAGCAAGAATCCGCAATGATTCGCAAGAAGGCAAAAATTGATCCGCTACGATCAGCAACAAAGCTACAATGCAACGCAACACTAGCAAACGAGTACACAAGGAGCCCTGCAATTCCCCGAGGGCCGCACCGTAGGTCACGTACTGGAATGGGCAAAGACCGCTGTCCAAATCGCTCGAGTTTAACCTTGCCTAAATGATATTTAGCCACATAAAAATTTCTCAAGGTCTGTTCCTAACTGCAGATTTAGTGAAGACGAATATATTACGTTCATTTTTTTCTGCGAATAAGGCCCACCGCTGTACCTCATTTTCCACTTGTCACTTCATACTAACTGATCCATGCCTAAAGCAAATATGTACTTTATAGTACACAATACATGACGCCCCAGATATGAGCAAGTTTCATTCAATTAGTGGTGGATTGAGTGATCATCTTTTTCTTTTTTATTATTATTATTTTACTCCTTTAGCGTGCGTTTCTAAACCTTTTTTCCCCATGTTTTGGCTTGTGGGTAGAATACTGTAGTTTACTGACTCCCTTCATAGTCCTTGTAAACCGGGGCAATTTACAAGCTGCTTTTAGAACTTGGAGAACTGCTTCTTTTCTGGAACGTTTTGCCAACTCCTTGTCCTCTACAACATTTAGGAACTAAATAGAAAGTTCTACGCAGGATCCGAAGTGAGCGTTTTGGGCCTTTTTAAATAAAATTATTAGGCATTTTCACGTGGTGGTCGTGCATTAAAGGAAAAGAAATGTGTAAAAAAGTGTGATGGCTGATGCACTTTAGAGTTGTTGTTTTGCTTCTAAGACTGCGTTCACACGGCATGGACAAATTTTTAACCAGCTGGAAAATTTGACCAAACACTTCTTTCGCACGGGACCGTTCAATATTTTCGCTCTGTTCACACGGGACTGACAAACCAGGTTGAATTTTCACTTTTGACAGTTAACTTTTGACAGAGGTTTTCCCACCTGCCCATGCGCAGAGGGTTTCTTTAACAAATTCAAAATGGCGTCTCCCAGCCGAGTTACCACGCATCCACGCAACTGTACCTTTGCCGTATAAAAATTTACACGGTCATGGTGTTCACATTGCATCGGTCAAATTTTCGACCGTACCGCTTAAAAATTCGGCCTCGATTTTAGCGAAATTTTCGTACGGTTAGCGTGGAACACGAAGAAGTTTCGACTGGTTTGAAATTCGTCCGATACCTAACTTATTGTTTTGAGTTGTTGGTTTTGCTTGTTGTTGTTTTTTTTATGTAATCGTTGCCGTGGCCGTCATAAACTCCTTACGGCAACAGCAGTAGAAATTGAGCGCTTTTTTCACTCGACGTCTGCCATAGTCTCTTTGTATCTATTGCTTCGTTCACACAGCACCGGACAAACTTTCGATCGTGTAAAAATTCGTGCGTTCAGGTGTTCTGTTTACACGGAACCACGTTAAACGTATCAAAATTTAGACGTCTAGCCGTTCAAAGTTCGTGTGAACAGAGCATATTGAGCACAGAATATATTGAACTATCGTATGAAGGAAGTGGCCGGTCAAAAATTCGTCCAATACCGTGAGAACGTAGCCTTTATTGGGTTTTGCTAGAAAGCTTGTCATTGTAGTTATTTTTGTCCTGATGGGAGTAATTGTGTGATGCCAGACGGTAAAGTCTTTCTTCCGCTTTGTCCATCAGATGTGTTGCAATGTGAGATGTGACAGTTATTGCGATCTTGGAAGCAACAGTTTAATGGACCACTTCCGAGTACCAAAAACTCTCACTTTCAAAACGAGTGCAAAACCTTTCTTCTCAAAATGAGTTTTATTTGCATGGGAATAAGAAATCATTTTCTTATCACTAGCTTCGCACGTAGCCTCGCTTTGAAACAGAGGCTTGGTGCAACTCGTAAATGGCCTATTTTACTTTCCGTAGCTTCAGAGGTCCGTAATCCACTCTGTTAACAAACACTCCTGTAAGATGAACGATTCCCTTTAACGGACACTCGTCATAGATCGACTCTGCTGCTCTTTAGTCACTTTATTTGGCTTATGATAAGTCGGTTACCTCTCTAAAAAGATACTTTGCGGTTCCAAAGGTGTCCTTCTCATAGGGAGAATTGACAAACGTGTAGTATCATAAACTGAGTTCACGGTGTGTTTTTTAAAAAGATACTCTGGCTCCCAGGGCATATTTTACTGTCCTTTCTGGTTTGATGCCCTAGGGTTACTGGTGTTAGTTCTCAGACTATCAATGAAGCAGGCACCTCTTTCTAAACTGGACACCTGGTACCATTCCCAGTAGTGCCCACCTCAGTAAGCTAATCCGGGAATTTGATCTCTGTCGTAAGTGTGCTCGTCACTACGTTGTCAGCTAAAGCATGATATAATAAGGTCGTGCTTAATTTTGATTTTTCCACAGACATGAACAATTCACGGTGAAAGGAAAACAAAACTTTAAAAGTCTGCATCAGTGGAAAAGCGGAGTGGATGATGGCAGGTTTTTTTACGGAACTGTTTCAGCGGCTTCAGTCTCACTGAACGACGCCACAACAAAGGTATCGTAGTCTATAAGGCTTTAGGGAGCTTAAGCAACTACGACGACAACGAGAACGTCAAAACAATTGGTTTTATGAGCAAAACAACTGCTCTGCACGTGCATCACGCTTTTTAGAACATTTCTATGATGTCCACTGCACTACTACGACGTGAAACCTCCCAATGCTACGTTTTGTGGAGAACGTGGACAGACGACTACAAATTTCCCGCTCTTTATTTGAACATGGATAAGGCCCTTAATAATTCAACTCCAGGGAAAGTCGCCTACATTTGACGAATTGAAAAGTTCCAAATAGACGCGATAAAGTTTGAAGGGACGCAAATTCGTTTTTTTAGTGATGTTTTCACTGCCATTGTCGTCGTTAAGCTCCCTTTTTATTCATAAGCAACAACGCTTACACTGTAAAAATAACACTGTAGCGCCGGTTGCTAACTTGCGAATACAGCCGCCTCACATGGTACGTTTCATGAGAGAGGCGTCTCGGCTGTGTCTCTCGCGAAACGTCCTCTTTTAATTTCCGGCAACAAATTCAGATCTAGAATCGGTATCGACACCCCTAGTCTTTAAATTAAGCCTTTAACAAGCCTAACAAATACGAACTATACCTTGAGCAAACTGTCAGCACAAAATATAAGCACTAATCGTTAATGGTAGATTTATGACACTTTTCTCATTAAGTATTTACAGAACATGAAAACCGCTACTGGGAACGGCATGTCGGCGTTTAGCTGAGGAAAAAAAAGGAAATTTGTTGGAGTCTATAGAGTGTTTTCACTCACGTGGCCAGCATCTACGCAAATTTATTAGAACAAAAGAAAGCGTTTGCATAAGAAAAGAGTTCAACTCCCACAGGACCCGTTTGGGACACCAACATGGCCGCCGTTTCATTGTTTTGGGTCACCAATATGGCCGCCGTGACGTCATGTAAAAACGCTCTATAACACGACTTAAAAGAAAGGTCAAGGTCGTGCTGTGATTATCATTTTTTTAAAAAATAGAATACACCTTAACATTGATAGGAAACTTTACTCTTGTATGGTGGCCGAGCTTTCTCACGAAAAAGATGGCCAGATTTGTGCTGCGTTTTCACCAAAAAAAAAAGATGAGGTGCTTTTCTTCTATACAATAAGAAAGAAAAAATTTTTGTCACCAGAATGTAAATAACAATAAAAATACATATTTTTGCAACCAAGAAACAAAAACGGGGCCAAGATAGTAAAGATAAAATAAACGCACGTGAAGAAAAAAGAAGCAACTAACAAACAAACAAACAAAAAAAACAAAATAAAACAAAAAAAGAAAAAGGAATAAATAAACCCTAAAACACTACGACTGCAAAAGCCCGTTAAGAACGAGGCCGATCATTCATGTACAACATATTGAAATAAAAATGAAAGAAAAAAAAACAATGAGAACTGCCTAAGAAACTGGTATATAAATTAAACCTGTTCCAGTTTGAAGGTGAATTATTGGTGCGTGCAAAGGAAAAGTTTGATGTCAACAAACCGCGCAAATTCAGGTTAGAGAACAGGTCACTGTGCTACGGTAAATAAAAATTTGTCTCCTAGCCCTAATCACATTTCGAAATAAAGTTTTCGCTTAAGAGGAAACTGCTTATCTCAGTTATCTATCAATAGAGCAGTGACCTGTACCTGTGACCTGTAACCAGTGTTTTTTCCTGCCATTTTGCGTGCCTGAATTAACATTTTTTAAAAACTCAGCTTTCGTACCCTTCGTTTGACCATAAACCAAAATCCCGGCCTGGCTGACTGCCTTAGTAACCTCCTACCTGAAAAACATTTAAATTACTGGCTGATTGGCTGGCTGGCTGGCTGGCTGACTAACAGAGTACTTAGATGGGCTTATGAATTTCACTATATCGAATAAAAAACTGTCGAAGTGCAAGTGTTTAGTTGAGAGGCTTAGCTTTGCTGCCATTGTTCTCTTTTAAATAGGATTAACCCATTCGCACCGATCTCTAAAGTGGAGAGTCACATATTGCATGGGTGTTCATGTTATACCGGATAACTTATCGTGTCAGCACGGAAAGCTATACGGTGTACTGTCAACATAGCCTAAGGCAAGCACGTGGTGGCCCTCGTTTACTGATGGTAAAGATCTTATTCCGAAGTTCGGACATGCATAGGCGCGATTTCCCCCGCTTTCTCGGTCCTTTATGGGGGAAGACCGCGGGCTCATTTCCCGAATGGGTTAAGCCAAAGCCACATCTGCTTGGTGAGCAAATTCAGTTTATCCAAATAAGAAGTCAAGGTAAGGCTAACCCCTTTTTGTTTTCTTTTTAGTTCGCATATCTCGAGCTATAGTACGAGCTCGTGACAGGATTCCAATAGTTTCCACCAGACATTTGGCAGCCTTTGTTACCGCAGCAGTTCGTAACGTCAGAACTGACAGATTTTCCTGTCAATTGCACAACGCAGCAGAAACCTTCCAAACTCTACGCAATACTCGTAAACGACGAGTTGAACGAACTTTAAAACAGCACATAAACGTCTCTGCCTTGCATGGCGCCTTGTTGTGATTTCCTTTCACGCGCTAGAAGACTCGTTTGTCGGGCATTTCTTCAAAGAAACGCACTCCGAAGTGAGCTACCTGCGTTCGAGAACGAATGTTACAGGTAAAGCCAAGACGAGTACATGGCTACCCTCCATAAAAAGGTGATTTACCCCTCGGCTGAAGAGGTTTACCTTAATCCCTGCTCATGTTCAGCCAAGCTACGGACGGCTGCGAAAGCGGACAATTTGGTTCTGGATTTACTGAAGTTACAAAGTTGTTGGGCAACAACACTGGACAACCCTTTCATAACAGCACATCACCTTCTCATGTCTTCGAGTCTTAAAATTGCTTTTACATTTTGTTCTGTGACGTTATGTTGACCTATATTTCTTTGTTGAATCAGTGAAAAGTCAGTAAATATTTATGAAGAGTATATAGAAAGGGGGACGACTCTTCGCAAATTGCCTTTTTTGACTGACAAGATCAAATGAAAATGAGGGTTTGTAATATGAGGAAACCTGAGGGAGGGTTTGAAACAAGGAAATTTTAAATAGAAATGACAAAAACAAAATATCTTGTTCAAATTTTTACAGACCGACAAAAAGGTTACTTTTTATATTTTATTGTTTGTCATGTCTTTTATTTTCACACTTTGAGTTTCCTGTAAGGCTGCTTACTGTTTTAAGTCTAGAACCTGTAAATTGTTTTGCTTCATGGGTATGCCAGCTCAAAAGTAATCTGGTTATGCCCTCGGGCAAAAAAACAGGGATATATTTTTTTTGGAAGACTTTCTGTCCAAGCGCCGTTTCTTCGGTTGTATTTTCCCCTGACTAGTTCTGCAGCGGTTTCTTGTTTACTGGTATCATCATCCTACACGTTTTCGACAAACCGATTAACGTTTTCGAACCTTTTAGTGATGTTTCAGTTAAATTAGTCGACTCGCACTCTACTTACTTGCTTTTATTCCCGAACTCAAACCAAAATTTAAAGGTACGGTAAAACGAGCAACAAAAAACGCGCAACTTGTTTTGCAACATTGCTACAAAACTAGTTGAATAGCGATGTTATGCGTTTAACCACCCACATCAAACCTGTCTTACAACAAATCAGGTTGTTAACAGGTTTGAACATGGGTGGTAAAACGCGCAACATCGCTATTCAACTCGTTTTGTAGCAATGTTGCAAAACAAGTTGCACGTATTTTGTTGCCTATTTTTCTGTACCTTAAGTAGCCTCACAACTCTTTTAATCCTCGAATTTCATTGGACCCTTATATATGTCACACTCGAGCTCTAGTGGACATCGTAAGTAGAAATTTTAAGAAAGTTTTTAAAAAAGCGTTTATTGGTACCAATTAAACGCAAAGCTTGTACTATTTTCGCGTTTTCGCGAGACTTAGCTGACCCTTCCCTTCCTATGTGGAGATGAATAAGACTGATCAGACATAGTACCACTGTCCTTTGCCGTGGTTTGCCTTTCTTCGATACAGTCAATGTAGTATAGGGGTGCTGCTGTTGTTAGTGTGGTGAAGTTTATTTAAGCAATAGAATACTCTTTCCATGGGTTTACCGGCGTGATAACCCACTTGGGATGTTGGGAGAACATGAGAAAAGCTTGTACATTACAAGGCGAAGGCGAGTGATTTACAAGCTGTTTGAGCAAGCTAGTGTAGTCCTGTACAACCCTTAACACTTGTCCTATGGCCTAGGGGTCTGCCACAGAGCCCTTTCCCGCGTCCTCCTTTGTATACCATGAAGCTGCATAATCATGTTCTGTAATAATCTCAGATAGCGGAAAAGCTGCAATCTCTTGAACACACGCTTGAAATAATTTTGAATTCATCTAACCATTTTGCAAATTGCTTTTGCTTGCGCGAAAACCGCGTGGGGGCTGGGGAGAGTCGTGAACTCGCTCGCTTTTTCTCTGCTCCCGCGCTTCCGCGTTTTTTCGCTCGTCTGCACTGAGCGAGAGCCTGGCACATGCTAGACTGGCTAGTTTCTTCGCTGCTGAGGGAAAAATTTCAGTTCTGTCTGTGAATTTTATTCGATGGAGGTGCATATTTTTGCTTGCCGCAAAAATACCATTATTACCGTAAACACTGTATAGCCTTGACGGCTTATTAGATTTATTACCGGTAATTTAAAACCGTCGATCTACATGGGATACAGATATATATCTACTTAGCCTTTAGAAACAAGAGACGATTACAGTATATTCCAAAAATTATTTTCGTTCTACGCTTACAAAACGTGACAGGGTCAGTTTTGGTGTCTTAAATTCTGTTAAATAAAACTAACAACACTGTTCCTTAAAACTCGCAAAGCAAATGAAGTTTCAGTTTTATTTCTGTAGGATATTGCAGTTAAAGCCCCTGTAACTTTCCAAGTAAATACAGTATGTTTCCATTTGATGGGGCGATCTACGAATAGCATATTCCTTTCTTATAAGGAATGACTTTTGACACGCAGGGAAGAATTGCAACAAGTTAAAGCTTTTCCTGTGGGCACCGTGGGAAGCCACTCTTTCTGCGGCTCCCGCACAGGCTAATAACATCATCGAATACTGTATTTAGATAATCGTTCGGTTCGTTCGGCGTGGATATAGGGCCAGTAACTGCACGCAATAATTTTGTGTTCGTTCCAAATCGACCTCTAAATCTGTTTGCCAGACGACCTAAAAATACCTTCCCCTACCCGCAAAAATCGGCCCCATTGAAGGGATTGGGACACGCAACATCTCACGAAATTCTTCCAAGTGTCGAAGCGGCCAAGAAACCACAACCGCTCAGCTGCGAAGCCATTCTTGTTTTCCTGATCGCTTGTTAATTCTAAATTAAGATAGAATACTTTCAAACGATTGGAAAAAGGGATTTTGCCGAAATTCTAGGAAATTTTCTGACTACCGGGAATTTATTTTTTTAAAGACCCTTTCCGGCTTGCAGGCATGCCCCCAGGGGGGGCACTTGGGTATTTTTTGGGTGGGTATGTGCCGCCCGGGACTCCAAATTGGCACCCCGTTCTAAAAAAAATTTCCCCTAGAATTGATACCTCGTTCTAGAAATGGGCCCATTTTTTATACCCCGTTCTAGAATTCGCCCTAAAACTGATACCCCGTCAGTAGAAATTGGCCAATTTTTTTTACTCCGTTCTAGAAAGTTTGTAAATTGAAATAGCTCTTTTTTTAAAAAAAGATATTTCTTTATTTGTTCGACTTATACATCTAATAAATGCTTCTTCATAATCGACGATGAGATTATATTTGACAAACGGTTTGACATTACAATTTCTTGCTATCCGATTTCTCCCGGCCGGGGTGATCACTAAAGTGGCGATTTCTTGTTTCTAGTGCAATTGCAGCTAATAATTTGTTATTTTAAAGTTGTATTGCTACATGAACATATACATAAAGCTTTGAATTCGACAGTGTGAAACAAATCATCCGGAGTACGTTTCCTGTGCATGTGGATACAATGCGGTTAATTATGACGCAAAATCTCTCACCACGCACAGAGCCACGCTCGTAAGCTAACGATTTTCCTTCTCCTCCCCCGTCCCTTTCTTTTGAGCCCGTCTCCATCTCCCTCGGGTACATTATAGACTCGTTCCAGACTTCCGCGCGCCTATTTATCCAAGATGGCGGTGTCAGCGCTCTCGGATCGCGCAAAAATACGGCCGCCCTGCACGCTAAAACACAGGGTGCAACAAGAGTACAACAGTTTGCTTGTTAACGCATTAAACCGTATTTTTAAAAGCAACCTGTCCTTGAATAATTTCAAATGGCTGCTTACAAAACTGGAGTTTTCGTGCGTTCGAAATATTATACCCCGTTCTAGAAAACGCCTCTGAAATGGATACCCCGTTCTAAATCAGGAGCTTCAAAATCACGACCCCGTTGGGCGGCACATACCCGTATAGGTAATGTATCGGAGTACCCCCCACCCCCCCGGGCAGACATGTAGCCACAGCGTACAAATAAACGATGGGTTAACCACTGAGTTTTCTCTGTTTCCATCAGTGGTTATCTGTTGAAATATATGTCTTCCATGGAAACAGCTGTTTCTGTTATTGAGAAGTACATTAATGAGCAAAATATATTTCGATGATACAGTTTGCGATTCTGGTTTTGTGCGTGACTTCACATGTAAACTCGCTTTTTTCGGTCACGAACAACTATTTTTTCTTTTCTTTGATCTGTGGCTGTTTTGTATTGAATATGAATTGTGATTTTCGTGTATTTTCCACTTAATAGCTGTGTTATATTATTACTATTTGATAAATAAACCTAAATTTCATTGAATTTATTTTCAATTCTTTAGTATCCTACCTACTATGAATTTAGCTTTGTTTAAAAGGGAATTTTCTATACAAATTTCGCGCACTTTTTTTTTGGCTACCATAATTCCTTTACTTAAAAATAGTGCATTCACGAAACCAGTTTTCCTTTAAGATTTAAACATATTCCAGTAGAAGGGCAATTGATTTTTGGCGATTTGAGACCCAGGAATGGTATTTCAGTAGTATTTTAAGTTAAGGGTAAAAAAGAGCTTCCACACTTTTGTATTATTATTTTCACTACTTTCTTGTTACTTAGTAATTGATAAGACTTAAAACTTTCTTGATTGCATTGATTACACATCAATATATCATCGCGTGGCTGCAAATGACATTTCCACATTCTTGAGGGTGATCCAAAAGAAATGGTATCAGGGTAACAGAAACATAAAAGGGAGGTGTTCTACATCCGGCTCAAAACATCTTCAGCAAAATCCCCAATCGTATGTGCGCCACGAGGGCCACATATATCACATCGCCGAATTTTTGACTTGGCAAGATGGAAGGCTCTATATCCCTTCTACTGGACGCCAGAACAGATTTTTTATTGCCCATGATAAACGATATGCAATGTTTGCTGGTTCGTGTGAAGAGGACAACAATTCCTCCAAACTAAAGCGTAAAGAAATCCATACGTGTGCGTGAGAAAACACCGACTTTATTATTGCACAAATTGAACACATCACTGCAATTCCGAAAGAGGAAAAAATGCCCGACCCGGCACTATCTGACAGGAAAATTTCTAAAAAGGATCATGTGAGACTAGCTGTTAATGTATTTGTTTGCAACTTAGACCGCGGAAATGATAAAAAGTTAGCAAAGAAGCTTTTTCTTTCAAAAAAATATATTATTCTGATTCTCGTCAGTTCATGCAGAAAATTTCTCTAACTCCATCAGCAGATGGCATTCTTCTCCTTAATAACGAAACACTTGTTGAAATCGAAGAACACCGCGAACGACTTGAACGCCAGGAAAAGAAACTCGAGGAAGCGCCAAACTGAAAAAGATGTAAAATACGAAAGTGTAAAACAGGGACCAGCAGAGAATATGACAGCAGCGGTTTTGAAGGAATTATTAAAAGATAAAGGAATTGCCTTCAGTTCAAAGGCCAAAAACTCTGAACTTGTCGATCTTTTTAATGCCGCTCACCATACCTCTGGTAGACCTGGCTGCATGA